GGATGAAACCAAGTAGGACACAGGTGTTGAGGATTGATTTTGTATTAACGTCAAATGGGCTAGGGATTAAAAAGGAGATTGTAGACATGACCTTCAGCGATCACCAGATGTTGAGAACGGAAGTGAGTATGGAAAGGGATGTGGAAGTTAAATGTTCAGTTATTACACGATGAGGAGACTTGCCAAGAATATGTAGAACCGTATAAGGCAGGGAAGGCAAAGTCCAGTCCATGGGCCAGATCAGGCCCGCAGTGGACTCCATTTCTCAGCAGCCCATAACTGCATTGCTGCGGCTGGTGTCCATGGAGACCCCAGCAGTGGCAGGGCTGTGACAGCCTGGGACCACAGTTTCCAGGGATATGGCCCCAGCAGTGCTGGCAGCAGAGACGATCCCAGCAGGGTGCAGGGCTTGGGGCAAAGCAGCCTGTGTGGGGCCCCCCTCCCCGTCCCATGGCACACTTACTGTGGGGAGTGAAAGCCCTGGCACACCAGACACGACAGGACGGGTGGCGGCCAGAACTGCCGGCCGGAGCAGCCAAAGAGCCGTCCAACCCGCTGGGCTGGCGGGTGGGCTAAACTTCAAATGCGGCAGCCGCAGCCTCTCCACCCAGCTCTGTGGGGCCCCCCGAAGCATGGGGCCCAGGGCGGTTGCCCCAATCTGCACCCCCTGATTTGCCCTGCTCCAGGCAGGCGTGAGCAGATCATGGCTCAGGCCCAGATCCAGACCACAGTGTCACTGCAGCAAGATCCCAGCCCTGGCCCCAGAGGAGCTCCCCACCCAGCTGTGTGCCCTGCCAGTGCTGCTGGGGCTGGTCTCCATGGAAACCCTGGTCCCACACTGTCATGGCCCCACCACTGCTGGGGTCTCCATGGAAACCGGCTGCAGCAACGTGGGCAGGGGCTGCTGGGAAACGGAGTCTGGCCACTGCCTGGATCTGCTATTCTGCCCACCTCTGGTATAAGGAGGATGCTGAAGAGATACTACAAAAGCATCTGGGAGGGATGGACAATAATCCAGAGAAGAACAAGAGAATTTTTCATAAATATTGGTCAAAGAGAAATGAAGAACAGGGTGGAAGAGCTAGAAGAACTACAGCCAACAAAGCAGGAATTATTAAAGGAGGTGGTAAGAGGAGTATGAGTGAAAGAAGAACTGGAAGACATAAAGCAATGGACTGAAGAACGGTTCAAGAGGAAATGAATGAAAAAATCTTTCTGACTAGAGCTCCTTAAATGGAAGAGGGAAGGATGGTGTAAATATTTTTCAGTGAAATGGAAGAAAAGAAGGAAGGAACTGAAAGCCATGAGAACTGAAAAAGGAATCCAAGTGAAAAAGAGGGTGAAGATGTTGGACACGATGGCAGAGATTTATAAAAAACTTTACAAAAGAAGAGAAATGGATAGAAAAAAAATAAGGTGTTCCTTTAGGGGATAAAAGAAAGAATAGAGGATGGAAAGAAAGAAAATCTGGAGTAGAAGTATGAGGGAGGTAGAAGACTGCTTAAAAGCTTGCAAGAGAGGGAAGGCGCTGGGAAGAGACAGACATCCAGTGGAATTCTATGAAAATCTTTGGCAATGGCTGGGGACAGATATAATAGAGACATACAAGGAAATAATGGGGGATGGGGAGATAGGGGAAGAGTTTGCAGAAGGCATGGTAACTTTGATATTCAAGAAGGGAAAGGAAGATGAGTTAAGCAACTGGAGGCCAATATTCCTTTTAAATGTAGACTAAAAATTGTTGGCAAAAGTACTGGCCAAAAGAATACAGTACATGACTTTTGTGCAGATGTGATACAAAAAGAACAAACATGTGCCACCCCTAAGAGGAGGATATCCCAGACCCTGTGGTTAATGGGAAATGTCATATCGGATGTGTAAGAGGAAAAGAAACATAGTAATAATGAATTTAGACCTGGAAAAAAACCGTATATGTTATACAGTAAATTAGGAAGTTGAGTACTGGTGAATAGTTACTTAAGTAAAGCATTCCTCATACAAGCGGGTAAAACAGGGATGCCAACTATATCCCAATCTTTTTGTGTGCATGATGGCGCAGAGAATTTGTGATGATAAGCTGATATGCAGTAAGATGGCACCAGGAGGAGGATAAGTTAAATGTACATTATATGTGGATGATGTGAACATAGTGGCTCAGGGCAACATATCAATTGAGGAGGTATTGAAGCATACCGAGGACTATGGTGAAGTGTCAGGGGCAGAATTAAATAAAATTAACAGTATGTTGATGGGTGTGGGGAATTGGGAGAATTTACAGCAGTTCAGGCTGCGGGTGGTAGAGGGTATATCTTGGGAACCCCAATGGATGCTGAAAGGAAAGGAATAAAGATGTGAGAGAAGTTAGAGGTAAGGTGAGGCATATCTTGGGACTGTGGAGTGGTCAAATGTTATCTTTCCAGGGTAAAGTGGCTGCAGTGAAAACAGTACACTTGCTGACCATCCTTTACACAGGGATAGCAGATAAGGAGGGTACAGAGGCAGATTTTTTTTTGGATACATAAAAGAGAAAGGGTAGCCAGAACGTAGCTATACAAAGCTAGGGAGTTAGGAAGTTTGGGAGTGCCAGATTTGGAAAGTTTTTTGTATACTTATTTTATAAATATGTTCTGTAAAGAGGGAATGGGGGGGGGGGGGGGGAAGCCTGTATGTTTCTGTCATTACCTGGCAGCAAGAACATTAAGAAGACAGGGCATGTACAGGGGAGATTGGAAAAAAACCACGGGTATGGCAGCCACTGGCCCACTATGTGAAAACAGAGAGTTTTTAAAAAGGTAAATAAACCAATGGAAGTGGGATTAGAGTGCTTGGAAGACCATAAGAAGGTGACTAATATGATAAGAAAGACATGATAACAATAGTTGGGGATCTGACAGAAGGACAGATGACAAATGTGTGGAAAGAGGTGACTGATAATAGACTGAAAGGGGAATGTACAGCTATCATATGGATGATGATATGGAATATTCTTCCTGTGAGGGGCATTCAGCATAGTGGGGATTGGTAAAATTGGCGGTGTGCCCGGGAGAGGGATGTGGAGCTGAAGAATCTGTATTGCATGTATCTTAGGACTGTTCTTTTGTACAAGGGGTATGGGAGGCAAGGGTGCATCATTTTTGAGGGTCATTAATCTGAACTGAGTTAACAAATGAAATTGTGTTGTATGGGTTAATGCCCAAAGGACTGAGACAAGGAGCCTGAGAACCATACTACTCTATGAGACAGTAGTGATATGGAAGGTGAGAAACCTACTGTTGGTCAAGGGACTGGCTTTCACCAGAAGAGAACATTTGGATTTATCAATATATGAATTGAAATACTATGTGGATCAAGATGTGGATGACATGGGAAAGGAGAAGGCAGAGAAGAGATGGAGGAAAGAAGAATGACAGTGTGTCTTCCAAAAGGACCAAGTGAAGGAATGAAAGCTGTTGCTTCCTCCTGGGTTGGGGGTGGATTGTGAGAGGTTAGTGTGTTAATAGTGGAACAGGGGTAATAAGAATAAGGTATTGTTGTAAGGGGGGGGGGGTCAAGTTTTGTGTTAATGTAGTTTCTTTTAGTTGTTTTGTAGTAATAAAAAAGGTTCCCATCAGTATGTTTGCCCAGTATAGGCCATGTGTTTCATAGTCATGCTTGGTTTTGGCTGCATTTAACCAACTTCATAGTTTGCTTCCATTACTGAGCACATGCTGCTTTTAGCACAAGTTTAAAGACAGACAGTGTATTTAATGAACTTTTCTTGCATGTGGATGTAAGGTGAGGGGCTAGTTTCCCAATACGAATTGGTAAAAAAAAAAAAAAAAACAAAAAAAAAAAACCTTGTCTTTTAATAAATATGGTCTATAAAATGAAAAATATTTTGTGGTCCTCTACTCTTTGACTACAAGTATGTTTTGACATTGCTTCTGAAAGAGCATCTGCCTCCTTAATGTATCCATGTCCTATTTCATGCAAGTTTTACAGAAAAAATTTTTGCGATCCAAAAATTACAGTTTCATTTTAAAAGTATAATGGAGCCAAAGAGTTGGACCTTGTGAGTTAGTTGTCTGTTATAGTAAGCTGCTTTGAGCCTTTCTGGATAGGGTGGGATATAAATCTAAATAATAACAGTAATAATAATTAGCTAGATATGCACGTCATAACATTTATAAACATCTCCAATTAAACATGCATAGATGTATCTCTGTTCTGATAAGGTCCAGAGTGAGAATGAGAGCACTGGCTAAACTACCATGTACCTCAACTGCCTGACTCTCACTAAGGCTATCAAAAGCCTGTACTTTGGAAGCAATATATTCAAAGAGATTTTTTATATATAGCTCCTATGGTTTGCTTCCTTAATTTCTTGTAGGCTGTCTCTGTTAATTTAACAGAAGATGTAAGATCAAACCTTGTCCATCACTAAATACCTGTGTACAAAAAAAGACAGAAAAAGCATTCCAAAGTCTATGCATAATATACCTAATGGTGGTCTGAAAGTAGTACAAGCAGTGGCATACATGCATGGCTAGAGCCATCAGACACACTAGGGGTTCAGCATGAGGGGAAAGTGCTTATGTATCCATAAACAGTACAAAATGTCACCAATACCAGCAAGTGCCCCTGAAAAAAACAGCAGTAAGAAGTCTCCTGCTGTATGCTGAGCTAGCCACTATTCATCATCCTTACCTGGAATTTTTTGCATTACATGTCATTACTACCTTGCCTGGGTTTAAGTTGTTACCTGCACTACAAAAACTAACATAGACTGTCACAAGTAACTAGGAATGGACCCACTAGGGGGTACAGGAACTTCAAGGCACAATGACTGAAGGAATCCTCTACTTGCTAGTGAAAGTGCAAATCAAAATTATATAATAAACGCACTATGAATACGAGTCCAGATCAATGTGCATGTTGCAGGACCCAATAATATTGTCACAAAGAAATTGTATCAATATGATTAATATGCATGCAAACAGTGCAGTATTTTAAAAACCAACTTTATAAGTCCATCTTCCAGGTATATGTCTGCATAGAAGGAGTGGTCATCATTGATAATTCTTCCACCTTTAATAAGTAGTCGATCACTCTGAGGAAAAAAGGAAGAAACATTTATGACACAAACAAAAAATGTACATAAAAATGAAACGATTAAATCAAATACCATATGCCCAACTTTCATAAAATGGACCAAGTGACAATACAAGTCCCAGGACCACTCAGTTTACCGAGTTGAGGTATCATGGTATCATGTCTCCTAATACACCTGCATTTTCTGAGCTATGAGTTTGAGCCTCAAGAATCAAATCAAAATAACACTGTCAAGATGAACGCTTTACACTATATATTTATTATATTGCTCCTCCCAAGTTACTGCTCCTATGATTATTTCTATTTTAAAGGTACAGACAAGAGCAACAAAAATGTTCAGAAGTATGAGCAGCTTCCATACCAGGAGAGTCTGAAAAGGCTGGGACTCTTCAGTTCAAAAAAGGAGAAGGTCAAAGGTCAACATGACAGAAGTCTATCATCACCGTTCATGATTTTTTAAAGTGAACAGGGAACTGTTATTCACCAAGTCCCAGAATACAACGATTAGGGGGCACTGAAATGATCGGGAAACAAGTTTTGAAAAAAGGGGGAGGGAGTACTTTTTTATATAGCATGTAGTTAATTTGCTGGGACTCTGACACAGGAGGTTGTAGAGGTAGACAATATAACTAGGTTCCAAAAAGGACTGAACAAATTCATGCAGGACAGGTCCACTGGGAGCTATTAAAGAGAACAGTCAGGGATGCATCTGCTGAGATCCTGAACTACTGATGCCAGGGAGGGTAGGACAGGAATGGCTATGCTTTGTACACACACTAGATTTGTTTTGTACATACACTCCCTCTAAAGAATCTACTACTTGCCACTGTCAGACAGCGTACTGGGCTACACAGACCATGGTCCAAGCCAGTAAGATACTATTTATGTTCTTAACATAAAATTCCTGAAAGAGTCAAGGGAACAGGGACCAGAACCCATGACTCCCCCTGCACATCTGAATGCCCTACTCATTTCCTAGACTAGAGTCAGGCTGTTCCTTGTTTGCTCCTCCTCTGACCCCATGAATTATGTGTTCTTTGCTATACAGTGACCCAGCCTCAACAGGACGGGTAGTGGAGGCCCTGACCCAAAACAGGCTACAACTTGCTAGCAGAGACAACCCAAGAAGGGTGCCGGGCCCCGTCCCTGGACATGAGGAAGCCAGCGGTGCATTCAGCAGCAAGCGGGGGGATGCCAAGTGGCCGGATGTGCTGGATTTGGCGGCAGATTTGGCAGTGGGGAAGGAGGAGTGAGGTGCCGAGTGGCTGGTGGCAGTGCAGAGTCACCGGGGCCACTCTGCCTGGCTCCGTTGGAACCAGGGCAGTCGCCCTGATTCATGCCCCCCAGGCATGGCTCTGAGAGCTGTTCTAATTAGAGCAACTCAGCATCTTGTGTATCAGCGTCCTTGAGTTTCAAAATGGTGGCAGGGGTGCTCGAACTAAAGCTAATTCAACGAGCTTGATTTAAAGCACTCCTGCTGCCATATTGAAGCATGGGGATACTGATACACGAGATGTGGGTGGTGCTGGAGTGTGGTAATTACAGATTAATCAAGTCTGCTCTGATGTGCTGTAATTACAGTGTGTCAGAGCAGGCTTCGCGCTCATGTACAGGCACCCTAGGCCTTTATGGCAAAGGTGGGTACCACCTCCTCTGCCTGGGTTTTTGAATGAAAGTGGCTATTGTGTTTTATGTTACGCTCAAAACTGTCAGCACTGACCAGGCATACTCAGAGCATGTGTAGGCGTATCAGGCTCTTCAGGCACTATTCTTCCTAGTTTCCACATCCAAATGGGGCTTAGGCAGGAGCTAGATGCAGCTGTTCCAAGTGAAGCAGTCCTGGGCACGGAAAAAGGAAGAACTTTGGGCTAATCCAAGAAACCTTGAGCTAAAAAGGCACAGGCCAAGTGAATTTAGGCACCTCCAGGGTTAGGAGTGGGGAATTTTGGATCTGGGCATCTAGGGCATTTTTACATGCGTTTCTGATGTGGTGCCGGGCTCTTTTAATTAACAAGCCATACTAATTAAAAATGCCCGCCCATGACGTGCATCAGTGATGCAGAGCATCCTCGCTCTGAGAAAACGGCAGGGGGGTTCTTTGAACTAAAGCACATTGAACGTGTTTTATTTCAAAGTGAGCTGCTGCCATTTTCTCAGCACGGAGACATGCTGCACCACTGATACACGTGGAGCTGCCAGAGCACGTCAATTTATATGATCCGGCAGACTCAATTAATTGAGTCGGATTCCCAGCATGTCAGAGCAAACTCCCTGCATGTGTGTAAGTGCCCCTAAAGTCTGTCTAAGAACTGTTTTAGGTGCCTTAGTCCCTTCTCAGGCACTGGCCTTCAGTCTCCAGGACTGGGTTTAGCTCAACTGCCATGTGTACTGCTGCAGGCCAAACACTGGTCACCCCGCATACAGATGTGTAGTGCTTGTGCTTCAGAGCCAAGAGTGAAGCGGACTAGTTTATTTTCATGGGGAAAAAGATTGATAATTAGCTGTCTGAAAAGGGCCAATTACTTTACTTCCCCATTTTTGTGTAAATCTACTGCTTAGTAAGGGTCAGGATTCAAGGAGGGAAGTGCAAGGGAATGAACAGAGAGAGCTTGTTACCATGTAAACACCAGGGGACAATTAAGTTTCCTATGAAGGGCAAGGAAAAAGGTCTAAAACTGATTCATAAATATCAGTGAGAGCCAGGAACACAATACCATACAATCTTCAGATTAATTACAAAGAGGAGGGGTGTGCTGCAGCATGGACCATATGCATTTGCTATGTTGGATCCCTGCCAGAATATCAAGAAGACAGTAGAAAATAAACCCACAGTGCAGCATCCCCTGGGATGTACAGAACATGCGACTGCAAGTTACTGTGGGCAGAGGAAAGAATGAAATCTAGCTCTTAATGAGCTTTAGATTTACACTCACACACACTGCAAGAAATTTTTAAAGTCTAATTCACTCTTTATGTATTTCCTTGGCCTCCACAGTGAAAATAAATGTGTTGAAAGTCAGGTTCTGGCCCTGATGCCATGGCAGAATGCAGCACAGTTTGGATTTTGACTCTTTCAGGAGAATGTGTACATTTAAAAACTGTGTGTGTGTAATAGTTAAGGAGGTAGCTTAAGCCTTTTAATAAAAAACCTAAAATGCTTGCTAAGACCTATTTTAAAAATAATGGAAGCTAAATTGCTAAAAGGCCTGTCCAGCTGTTTGTGTAAATATTTAGGAATAGTAATTTATGTCTAAGGGAAGGGGAAGCTATACTGGTCTGTGGTTTCTGGGCTGTTTGGATCATCGTTCTCTACAGAACAATGTGAACAAAGAGAATCAGTCAGCATTTTGCACTGCAAATTTTCAATATTAGAACTGAGCTAAAAATGCCAAAAATATGTTCTCTGTAGAACTATTCAAATATTGAATGAATCTGTCAAATAATTGCATTGTGCTGGCATAAAATATGTACAGAAAGCATATTTCAAAGCTGCATGTAGCAATATTTCCGGAAATCAACATTTAAATTCTCACCTTCAAAGGGTCAGTTTGGAGGTGCCAGTACCATCCACCCAACCAGGGAACAGAAATAAAATGATTTGACACATCTGACCACATCTGGCTGCAGGCCAGAATGCCCCACCTTGGGTTAGAGGCAGGAAAATGGGCACTAGGACCCTTCTGCTGCTGCTACTTGTGTCCCCCCATGGCACAAAGAGAGTGCTTGCAGGAAGTATTCATTCCCACAAAGCCACACATCTTTGGGCTGGATCCAGAGGTTCTGCAAGCCAAATCTGGTCCATGGGTCCATAGGTTACTGGCCCCTGGCTTGGTGCATACTGCATTTGTAAAGATGTTAGCCAAATAATTATGAACAGTCAATGAGACTGAAGAAGTCGAGTACAAAGGGAGGCTGAAGTACTGAGTGCATTATTAATTACAAATTATATGTTCAATTTCCCAAATGATAAATAAGAATACTCTCTTTGTCCTGCATTACTCACCTAGCTCGTGACTCCAGACTTGCAAAGAATTAAGCTCAGGAATACTCATATGCCTTTAGTTATGCACAAGCCTAAATACCCAATTCAGAAAATAAGAGCATCTTTATGTTCCCTCATCTGAACAAACAATGATATCAACCTCTTCTATAAAGTGCTTTAAGATTCACTGATAAACAGCAATACAAAACACAAGCAGTATTATAGTGTTCCTATTCAGCAAAAAGTTAACTACATTTCTATCTTTAAGTATGTGCTTAGAGTTCAGTTTGTGTTTAGGTGCGCTGCAGTTTCAGGGCTCTATTCAGTTCTGTATTTCAGTCCAAACAATAGAGAGATTATCATCTAGCTGTGGTACCTTTAAATAAATATATGTCCAATATAATACATAAGGAAAGAAACCACACACAGGTTTGAGGCTTTCGATATAACGAAGTATACAAGGGGCTCTAGGGTAAAATCAAGGTTCAGAACCACAATGAAATATACTCCCCATGGGGCCAGTCTCAGATGCTGGTAATGTTTTGCAATGAAGGAAGAAAGAGGATGCACATCCCCATCCTAGAATTTGCCTTGCTGATCACAGCTTTTTTTTTCCAGGCTCTCTATTGTCAGTTGTAATTGCAGCATTTTTCAATCAGCAGTGTGAAAGGTAATGATTTATTTTGACACTGCTGGCAGTCCTACCTCCTCACCACAATGATTTACTACTGTGACTGCTGAGCTGCAGAAACCACTATCTTGTGAGTTCTTTTTAAGCTCATTCAATTATCTTTCTAAACATGAATATTGTTCAGCTAGAGAGAGAGTATCTCATTTATTTGGGAGGGAATGTTACCAAAATGTGTAAACCTCACGTCTGAGTCAGAAAAGCTCGACATGCATCAAGATGTTTTACATTTTTCTTTACAAATAAGCCATAAATACAAACAATAGAAGAGGATAGGGCACTTATTAATAGACATGGAGAATGTAGGCAAGAATATAACCCAAGAGAG